TTTAACTATATACTATACTGCTTATATTGAATTAGCTTTTTATAGAGTAAATTATAATATTTTTCGAAATGTTGGTTATGGATTCAAACTTTACATGCTGGTGCTTCATTTTTGTTATTTTCATTTACTTACATATTGAAAATATACTTGAATAGTAGGTATTATTATTTTATTTAACAACTGAATTTTAGGATATGTTTTACCTTGAGGTCAAGTATAATCTCGAGGAGCAATAGTTATTACTAATCTTTTATCTGCTATTAATTATTTAGGAACAATATTATTAAATTGAGTTTGAGGGAGATTTACTGTTTATAATGCTACATTTATTATTTTAATATTTACCTACTGGGTAGGTATTAGTCATCACAATACATCATTAGTTATACAATTACAATAACTAATAAGGTATTGTGATAGTTTGTGATTAGTAATACTGGGTGGGTATTAATAAATACAACAAGATAAAATATAAATTGAATGAAAGAAATAGATTACAAATTTTTTAACTTCCTTAAATTATAAACAAACAGCTGCAGCTATTAAATGAACATATGCGCATACATACGCCCATATTTATGTATATATATATATATATATATATTTTATATATATATATATATATATATATATATATATATATATATATATATATATATCAAATTACATTTAGATACAAATTACATGAATAATATTTTTTGATCTTATTGACATAATAGCTACAACTGAACTGGTTATTTGAATAAAATTTTAATTTGATATTCGAATTAATCACCCATACAATTTGTGTGCCAGCGCAGTGGTAGTTTATTGATGCCGTTCTTGAAGAAATCAACTGGACGGGTAAAGAACGAAAGTCTGCTGGCGCAAGGTTTAGTCAGTACGGCCAATGACGGAGAGCTTCCTACCCCAGCTCTTGTAACTTGGAGACCGTCTGTTATGCGTTATGTTATTGGTAAACTTGAATAATTATTTTTGTCGTCAAATTTGCATTCAGGTATTTTTCTTCTCCTCCTAAAATAAAAATATAGAAATAAAAGTAAGTGAACTTTGCATAACACATCAAATTACTTACAGAATTTCATTCATCTTTAGAGCATTTTGACGTCGTTGACGTTTATTCTTCTTGAATTTAGGCATTTGCACTAATCACACAATAACACAATCGTAGCGTCTTATTGTAGTAAAAAACACGTACGCGCATCGGTTGGTAGGTACACAAATAATATTATGTTTGCGGCGAAATACGGATCGTCGATGACGTCGACGAGCGACACAACTACCTCTTACGAACGCATACAGCGTAATGCAGCCCACACTCTGCGCACGCCCCTTTACCATAGAATTCACACAATTTTTGGAATTATTTTAACTAAAAAAGGAAAACCGAACTTAAAAAATTAAATAAAACGTGGAGAATATAGACTTATAAATTATCTATCTATTTGTGTAATTCTCAAATGATTAGAGCGTTGCGTTTAGCAACAGATGCATATATTCAAGAAATTTAGTAATTTTTTTAAAGTTTCAATTTTAATACTGCATCTAATTTTATCATATTCCATGAACATCTTCCTTTATTGTTACTGGTATTAATTCGTTTAAAATAATTTATTCTTTTAGACACGTCAATACACTCTTTTAGTAATTTGCTGTATCTTTTGTATTTTTCTTTATTCTCTTCAGTCTTTTTCTTATAATAACCAATTATGAGTTTCCTTTTCATTAAGCAACTATGTCTCAAACCTTTTGTAATCCAGTTATTTTTATATTTCATGTCTAGTTTTTTTTGTGTTAATCATCGGAAAGCATAGATTATAAAATAAGATAAAAAGTTCCATAAATTTATTGTATGCAGAACTGATATCCTTGTCCTCAAAAACTTCCTTAAAAGTAAGCTTTTTTATACATTCACGAAACATATTAATGTAATATAAATTATAATTCCTTTTATACACCCAAATATCATTTTAATTTTTTCTCTGTTTATGTACATCAACAGATAATATTTGCGCCGATTCATGATCTGATAAATATAATTTTTTAACACATGTTGTTCCATTCATACATGATCTATACAGTTGTTTCCACGCGTTGGTTCATTAATATGTCTATATAAATTATAATTTGAAATGATGTCATTTAATTCAATTGAAAATATAATAAAAAATTAAATAAAACGTGGAGAATATAGATTTTTAAATTATCTATCTATTAGTGTAATTCTCAAATGATTAGAGCGTTGCGTTTAGCAATAGATGCATGTATTCAAGAATTTTAGTAATTTTTTTAAAAGTTGATTTTAAATGTATTTATAGCACATAAAAATAAATTAGAACGTGAAATGTGATGATAAGATATCGAACATTAATAATGTGCTTTTAGATGTAGTTTATTTTTCATAACGAATGAGATAATAGAGTCTGAAAAACGCACTTTCGCAACATTTTGGTCAGCGATACACCTTAAATCAGATTAACAATGATGCGTTTGCGTTGCATGTATGAACTTGTACGTACACATGTAATAATGACATTATCAGTGTGCCTTTCTAAGTGATTGAATATGCATAAATGTTATAACTCGAGCAGGCATTCGACAATGTAGTTAAGTCTAACACAATTCGCTAGCACTAATAACTGCATTAATAGAATGGTATAATCCATTTATTTAGTCAATTTCATTTTTTTTACACTGAAACAAAGACTATAGTATTTTTAAAACCTAATATAAACTAATAATATTATGATATTGAATACTAATAAAATTATGATATTGAATAAATAATATTATGATAAATATGATAGCACTTATAACTATCTATCGATAACTATAGATTGACGAACATTTTACTCGATGATATTCGAGCTCACGCTCGTCGAAACGAGCAAGGGGGTGCGACGCCACTACCACCACCCCGTACCACCACCGTGCCCATGTATCCCTCTCCGAGGGCTAAATATTTACGCCGCATGTTAGACTCGGCAACAGCAGCAGACGCGCCTGCCTTCTGTGCAGTCGCCGCAAGATGAGAAAGCGCTAATATTTTTTCATGGAATGAGCGACATTTTATCAGGCTTCTTGCCATCGCCCCACAATATAACGTTTAGCTCTAAAATTGCAGGTACGTTTGTACTGGTTAAGGCCCGTCGAATTACGTTATTAATGACTGCATAGTGAGGGATGCAACCTGCACTCTGCTGGCATGATAGGCCATGATGTTGGTCAATAATATCGACCTCTTTTCCACAGTGGCAGCAATAGAGATCATTGGTTTTTAAACCTAATCTCAGGCTGATAGATGAGAGAAAGTAGTACTGTCCAAGAGTGTTCCGATATTCAATGAGGACAGTGCATTCAACCAATAGCCCGACTCCTTCACCGTAGATACTAGAAGACGAGCCCGCTCTATAGTATTTCCGCAGTTTCCTAACTTGTTTTCTAAACATTGATACTAAGGGGGTCATCCCAATGCCTCTGCGAAGCTGGGTTTGTTGGACAAACTTTATCCGGCACGATCTTATTGTTCCATTCTTCCTTGACCTCAGCTAAGCATAAGACGTCTACATCACCATGTGATGGATTAATAACCGCTCCAATGAGGTCTGATGTGCTATGAACTGAAGACAAGACAGCCGGAAGTGCTATGCTGGAAAGTCTTCGGACGCCTAGACTACCAAGTCTAACGGAAAGTGTGGCCTGAGTTTAAAATTTTCTCTGTCTCTTATTCTAAGTATAGAAAGAAATGTCAATATTTTATCCGAAAAACTAGAAAATTTTTTAATGACGAAATGGTCGTTGATGATTGCCTTAATTGTGAATAATTGATCTGATCTTGACTTGATTGAACCTTGATTGATCCTAACCAGACCCCGCGGCGGGGCTAAATGACAGCATTTTTTAAACATTTCTTTATTTTGAACGCGTGCAGTTCGAGTGCGTCTCTGTCGAGGAAATGTCTATAGGGCTCCACAGATGATCATAAATATATTTTTAAAATTTAATACAGTATTCGCATAATTTCAGATACAAGTAAGAGCTGTGTCTAATTTGTTTCTTGTTATTAGTAAAAAATGTTGCATTTTAATTTTGTTTTTTTTATTTGTTTGCTTTTTAAGGGAAACATACAGTACGGTAAAAAATACATTATAAAAACATATAAAGTAATCCTAAAACCAATGAAGTTTCCACAGACACAGAAGCAAACAAAGTTGTATTTGATGGTGATATAACCCTGACTAGTGAAATTGTTACTTGGGTGTATACAACAATAAGACTTTTTCATGGGGTCCTCAGTTACAGGAATTAAAAATAATTATCTAAATAGCTAGAGACTTAATACGCTATCATTAGGAAATGAGATAAAAGAGAATAATTTACAAGTAGTGATTATTTTTGAACCACATCGTTTCCTATCTGTTTTCATTACGCCAGTAGATTAAAATCAGTTAAGAAATATTACTGATTATAACAACGGCAAACATCAGGTGATCACACAATACGATTTAATTATTGTATAAAGAAATAGATTAAATTAAACTGATAATGGAATATTATTTGGTACATGAAGAATTTATATGATCAAATAGCATCTACAATCTTAAATTCTTAACTTTAATCCAAAATGAACATTGTACACTGCACATTGTCCCTAGTTTCACCATTACGTCGATGATAAATAAACTGTTACAATAAATAACATGTTGGTGAAGTGAAGTTTGATATACTCTGACTACAAAAATACTAGCGATTGACAGGCAACAGCATGAGTTTGTTTCGTTTACTGTCCACCGACTGAGCGTATATGGTGAACATTTTTACTTCCATTTGATGTCTAAAATATATGCTCTTTTGATTCCTTGCATGATTTATACGAAGTCAAGCTGAGTTTAAGCAGTATAATTTTTGTACTTATTACATTTTATTTGAGCTTGTCTAAAATCCCATCGATGGCAAGTGGTGAATAAGATGATTACAAGGCACAGATTGAAAAACTTAATATGTGGCTAGTTCAGTTCTCACGTAGTAAAAGTGAAACCTTCAAAAAAAGTAAGAGTTGCGAGTAGATTTGTTTTTAACAGCGTCATCTACTTTATTCTATACGTTAAGCCATTTTATCGAACACAAATTGGTTGACTCTAAACATACTACGTAAAATAGACGCTAGATGTTAAAATTTCAGCAAAATTTCCGCTCGCGATTCTAAAATCTAAATATCGTATAATTTCATACAGACCTTTAGTTGAGAACTCAATTGCTTTTTTAATTATTGTTTATGGTCCGATCTATGCAAAATGAACTGACCATGGGTGCTGGAAAGCGCCCGAAACGTCGGGAATTAAAATAAAAAGTAAAAATAAACGCGATAAAATCCGTAAAAGTAGTTTTAATCATGTGCAATGTTCGCGTAAATATAAGAAATCATTATTTAAAATATTTTATTAAACAAATATTGTAAAATGAGTTATTTTAATAATTAGAAATAAGTTATGAATAATAATAACATCTGAGAATATGTGATATTTACTGAGCTATTTTTAATATTTCTTGCATAATTGATTGTACAACATTGTGAAAAAGTCGCGCTGTGTTTCATCTTGATACTTTCCAGAACATAGGTATTTTCTGAACCAGTCTTCTATTATAATCTTCATCTATAAAATATGTCTTGACGAACGCAGTTCCAGATATCTCGCACCTTTGACGCTACTCCTGAAAACGGGTTTAATTTGCCACTGCTTCGGAAAAAATACCTCTGTACTGGAAAGAAACCCAGCGGCACTCTCATTTTAAATAAAATAACAGCTTACAATCATGTATGTTAAGTTACTTTATACGTGTTAAAGCCACGCTGCGGCTATATTACGCATGTAGCACGTATGGGTCGGTTCGACCGGGGAGGATATTGTCCGTTGCCGATATTGGATTTTATGCTTGGGATTGAGTAATATATCATACCGCCATCTATCGGAAGCCGTAAGATCTTTTAGCATTTTTCATAGTTTCCACAATTATATTCAGGGGACGATATGGTGTGAAAAATTCTATTAAACCGCCAATACAGGCTATAAATATAAAAAGATATATGTTATAGAAAAATAACCCTGCATAAATCAACATACGACTCATTATAATATAATATTTGCATAGCGCTGTCTGAGACGCAACGAGGAATTGTTGGAGGATCTTCTACGTCTATTGAGAATTATCCCTACGTTTCTGCGCTTCTATATTTATCAAGCCAAGCCTACGTTCAAACATGTGTTGGGACGATCATCAATAACAGGGCTATTCTTTCTGCGGCCCATTGTTTTTAGTAAGATTATTTCATTTTATAAAATATATTGCTTTCGCTTTCTTTAACTCTTCTTATGAACCAAAATTAACTGATCATATTTTTTACAGTGGTCATTCAGCTAGTAGCTGGCGCATTCGTGTCGGTTCCTCGTATGCTAACAGCGGTGGTACCGTTTTTACTACAGCACAGATTATTATCCATCCCAGCTATACCCAATACTCTAACGACAATGATGTGGCAATAATGCACTCTAGTGCAGCTTTTACGTTCAGCAACAGTGTACGCGCCGCCGGTATTGCCGGCACAAACTACAATGTCGCAGATAATCAAGCTCTTTGGTCTGTTGGATGGGGCAAAGCTTCGGTAAGATATTCCTTATGAACTTCTATTTGCCATAATTTGAAATTGAAAAACCTTATTAATAGTAATAATTAATAATAATATTATCTTTCCGTTTCTTCTTTATATAGTCCAGCGGTTCGTTCTCGGAGCAACTGCGGCATTTTGAAAGTAGAAGTATAAACCTGAGTACTTGCCAAAGTATTTACGTTCAGTTGGCAATGTATCTTACAGATAATATGATGTGCTCAGGTTGGCTCAATGCTAGCGGTAATGAATGCCAAGGCATCTCTGGAGGTCCTCTTGTCCACAACAGCGTAATCGTGGGTATACATTCATGGGGAGCGCAATGTCAGCTTGCTAGATACCCCGGTATCAGCACTCGGGTTTCGGCCTACACGTCCTGGATCCAATCAAATGCATAATAAACATCTACGATGTTTTTGATAAAAATAAAACGCTACTATAACGTGCAATTTATTCATTTATTATTAACATATTTATACTCCTCTTTTAAATAACATCCGATTACAGGAGAGGATGAGAGAGCACCTGCGCTTGTGTAGCGCAAGCGCAGGTGCACTCCATATTTCCTCAATATCATAGTTGACGCGTAAGAGATCAGGAACAAGATGAATGACTTTACGAGCTTCTTAACACCGGACTACTGCTGAGAATTTCTAAACTTTTAAACTACATGACCAGCAGTCGCGTTCACTACCACTATACAAATGAGGTACTTAATAGGCAAAACAATAAAAATACCGTAACGGTATCATTTCTAGGGTCTAAAATAGAATGCTTCGTTATTAGGATCTAAAATGTTTGACAAAACAAGAATCTAGTAATTAGATATTTCTTTTGGTTTGTAAAACAATTATTCGTTTTGTAAAACAAGAAATCGATGTTTTAAATAATTTAGAACACAAAACTACACTATAAATATACAACTATATTATACGAAATTTTCTGTAAATTAAATTAGAGTTTATGGACTCCAGCGTGACAAGAAGAAAGAGCCAATCATAAGAGATTTTCTCGACTTCCTTGAAAAGAGAGCGTCGATGCTTATGATCGATGATTAGGTAGGATAGGTTGATGTGTCTGACTAAATTAAACATTAGAATGGTGTCTGAATCTCTTATTTTTAATAATAAACTAGCTGTTACCCGCGGCTTCGCCCGCATGGTCACTGGGAAATGAACTATCCACTGCTTTTTGAATAGAAATAAAACTGAGTTTTATAGATTTGTCAGAGATGCAGCCATTAAAAGGAAACTGAGCAAAATTGATTCGTCAGCGTATTTAAATGTTTTGAAACGCAGCGTATAGGAAAGCATGAAAATAGCCTGTTTATTCCAAATGGAAATGGGATATTTTTTTAATTAAAGGAACTGAGCATAATTATCCGTCAGGGATGCAGACTTTTGAAAAGAAACTGAGCTAAATTGATTCGTCAGAGATGCAGTTTTCTGAATTGAAAGGAAACTGAGCCAAATATAAGATCCGTCAGAGATGCAGCCTTTTGAGTTGAAAGGAAATTGAGCTTAATAGGTCCGTCAGAGGTGCAGCATTTGGAATTGAAAAGAAACTGAGCTAAATAGGAAATTTCGAATTGAAAGGGAAGATCTGTGGGAATTCTGATTAATTGATTGTGGGAATTTTGGAAAAAAAAACTAACTGAACACTATTTTAAGATGCTACTGTACACAACGTTATATGTTTTTCCATTCGTGGAAAGAATGTGGAGATTCTGGGCATTTGACACACGCGAACATGCTACATACAGCTGACCATGAGAGAAGCACGGTGTTTCTAAGTTGACCCCCCGCTACCTGTAACGTTCGCCCTTGCGCTTTATTGTCATTACAAAACTGAGCTTAATAGGGAACTGCAACCTTTTGGATTGAAAAGGAAGATCTGTGAGAATTATCGGGATCCGTGGTATAATAACATTTTCACCTTTTCCTACGCCTGTCAAAATTGTAGCACCTATTATGTTCCGTCCAAGATGTGTCACACGCAGCCTTGTCCCGTTACATAACCGAGGAGCATCTAAATTTCGCATTAGCATGACTGGGACGCCTAATTTTAATTGAAGAATTTAATTGAAGAAATTGAAACACCTGACAACTCTAGAGAATTTAGAAACTCTGCGGGATATGAAGTGCTCTGTTCTGTGTCCATAACTGTGTCTATTGACAAATACTCTGTTATTTCTCCTGCTACTACGCTTAATATATCTGAATTTATTTTCTTAACGCTCCCATTTTTTGGTGCAAAAATCGCCCTTTCACATAACCATTTGTCTTCACGCATGTTGTTCTTTAAATCTGAATAAATGCTCGCAATTAATTCGGAATGACTCTGTACTAAATTACAAAAATCTCTCGTCAATTTAACGCAGCCCTCAGCATACGTTTCCAACCGCCCATCGCTAATTTTTAATAGTGTGTCAGCATAGTTTCCAGCATTGAAATCATTATACAAATGCACTTTCATATGCGTAGTTAAACTGAATTTTGTCACCTTGTTCCATAAAATAGACGACTAGAGGCATGCTTTAATTTCATCTGCAGGTTTCCTTTCGAATGACAGGTAAAGTTTGGCGAAAGTCACCAGCCAGTAAAACCACCATTCCTCCCATTACATCGGTATTGCTGCGCAAATCCTGGAGCGTTCGATTCGCTTCTACAGCTTTTTTATGCGACATTGTACTTTTGTCCCACACTAAAAGTTTGCATTGTCGTAGCATTATACCTCGTGCACTATTTTTGCTAAAGTTGCAGATCGGCGACTCTTCCTGGGCTAGATTTAGAGGGAGTTTTAAAACAGAATGTGCAGTGCGGCCCCCGCTTAGCAGCGTGGTGGCTATACCGGAGGAAGCTACGGCCACAGCAATGTTTTTATCTTTCCGTACTTGCGCTAATAATAAATTTAACAAAAATGTCTTCCCAGTTCCTCCAGGGGCAACTAAAAAGAAAAGTGCACCATTTCCAGATTCAATCTGTCCTAATACTTTGTCAAAAACTCGTTTTTGTTCGGAAAGCAAGCGGGGTACAAATTCACCTACTTGCTGCTGCAAAGCCGGTATATCGTAGTTTGTTTTACGTATAATTTCATCACTTAGTTCATTTTCGGTTGTTCGCTGAGGGCTTATCATTCAAAAGTCGCTTAATTTTTTGCCCACCATTGCCATTACTCTTTATCTTCAATTTTTCCAAGTGCTTCATTATAAATGTGTTCATTGTATGTCATGTTCGCGTGCGTCTGCTGTAACCTTCGCAAAATATCTTCCGCAATGTATTCTTTATTGTTGTCCCAAAATTTTTTTAGATAGCCCGCAAGATGATATGAGAGTTGCATAAAGATCCCTAATTTTGGCTGGTGACTGGCACTGCACTGCTTCCTCCATGGTTTCATCCCAGTGATTATCGTTTTCTAAAAGATGCAGAGCTTCACATGCTTCTCTATAAGTTGCGTATTCCTGACCGTTGACAGTTTTAAGGTCTTTATATCATATAGGACCCCGAACATGATGCAGCAGCAATCGTAAACAAAAACATTCAAAATTAGTTACATGGACGGTATACACACGACCAAGGGCATCTGATGACTTTACACCGGGCCAATTTGCTACAGGCGAGCCTTGAATACGGCATTTCCACTCCTTCCTAGATGTGTTCCAAGTATAATAGCGGGGGACTTCAGAATATAACAACGTTTTTGCAAAGGGGTCGGCTTGACAAAGTTGAAAGAAGGCTGTTAGTGTAGTTTTTGGGGGTGTTGCAATTCTTTCTTGGAAATTTCTTTCAGTTAAATATACACGCTCTCCATTTTCTAAGTGCACAGCAAGGTGAGTAACTGTTGGGTGCCTTTCGTGTAAAGGGAAGCCAAGGAGACGCCACGCTGCCTCGTTACTGCTGACATAACGCCCTGCTTGAAAGGTCTGTACTGCATTAACGGGATTTGCCTCACCTTTACTCTTGAGATTAAATATTGCTTGGTCGCTTCCTTTATTTATGTACTTACAGATATACTTGATTGGGCGGACAGAGCTACATGCTTCTACATTAATGTGGGCATTAAAAATTTTACATAGAATGGGCGAATACGGGACAATCCAGCTGTTATCTAAGGTTTCGAATGCTCCAGAGCGAGATTTGATTGTAACTTTCCTGCCACCATCTTCGGGAGCTCTGCGTCTGTATAAAGGGTAGCCATTGTCATTGTGCACTGTTTCATTTAATAGCTGTTTAGGGAATTTCTTTGTACATTTTTCTTCTTTCATACATGGCGATATTGAATTTCGTGCTCCACATGGACCGTGAATCATATTTCGGACGATGGTATCATACAATTCTTTATCTTGCTCAGGATTCGGAATCTCGGCGCTTATTATGTCGTCTATTTGGCTGGGCCGCAACTTCCCTTTAAGCCATATTAGAATGTGGACATGCGGTAATCCTCTTTTTTTGCCATTCAATTGAATACATGAAGCACTGGACCTCTCCGAAAATTTTCCCTTTGTTAATTACATACATTAATTTTTGTACTTTTAATCTAAATACTCTAGCAACTAAATCGTGTCTGTCAGTACTTTTTGGGCCCGGCATTAGCTCCTGGGTTATTTCTTTCCATGTGGGATTGCAAGTAAAAGTAACAAAAAGATCGGGTTTTCCGTAAGTTCGTACATAGACGAATGCGTCTTGTGTGTACTTATGTAGGTAGCGGGGACTGTTAACGAATGATGAGGGCAGAATTACCATTTTACCTAAATCTCTAGAGTTTACATTGGCGTCGCTAGAAACTGCATCTTGTAAATGTATATAATTCTCAACGCGCAGCTTTTTTTGGTTTAAAGATATATAACGGAGACGTTCACTTTCTACCTTCACATACATGTCTACCAAAAATTGATGAAATGATTGTCTTCATCATCATCATCATTACAGCCCTTCACAAGTCCACTGCTGAACATAGGCCTCCCCCAAGTAATGCCACAAAGCACGGTCCTGAGACACCTGCATCCATCAACTTCCTGCATGTCTTACCAGGTCGTCACTCCATCTAGTGGGGGGTCGCCCTACACTACGCCTACCGATACGAGGCTGCCACTCGAGAAACTTTCTGCCCCATCGGTTATCAGTTCTTCGAGCTATATGGCCGGCCCATTGCCACTTCAGCTTACTAATCTGTTGGGCTATGTCGGTCACTCTTGTTTTACTACGGATATCCTCATTTCTGAGTCTATCACGCAGAGAAACTCCGAGCATAGCCCTCTCCATATGAGCGACCTTGAGCGTCCTCATACGGCCAGCAGTGAAGGACCACGTCTCTGATCCGTAAGTCATCACTGGCAACACGCACTGGTTGTACACTTTAGTTTTCAGAGATTGAGGTACACCTGACGAGAAGATGTGTC